GGATCCTGGGTGTGTTGTGTGAGGAAGGATTTAAGCAGTTGAGTCAGGCCTCAGCTCCTTTCCTTCCTGCCTCTTTGCTCTCTGAATTTTCCTTTCCCTAGAACTGATCAGCAGGGGCTTTGGACAGATGCTTTTGCTGAGATGAACGGCCTGACCTTTTCTATAATCTAGAGTAGCCGCTCCTACCATCTCCTGCCCTGAGCTCAGTTGATAATGATGCTGAAGATCTCTCCTTGAGATGGAGTCTTGAGTTCAGCAGTTTTCAGTGGGGCATCATGTTGTCTCCCCAGAACATCTGGCAATTTTTGGTTGTCACAACTTGGGGGAGTACTACCAGCATCTTGTAGGTAGAGGTCAGTGATGCTGCTCGTACACATCACAGGGAGCCCTCACTATGAAGAGTTTTATCTGACCCCAGATGCCAGTAGTGCCATAATTAAGGAAACTCTGCTGCAGGTCAGCCCAGGTCTTGTCTTCAGCCAGTAAAGCAGAGGTGAAGCAGAGACCTTGTGTTTCTGATAGGACCGTGGAATCTATCTCCTCCTTATTCCAGCCCCAACATACTCAGTCTCCCCTTCAGTCACATGCAATTCAACCTCCCTGGTCAGAGCTGTTATGTGAACGGGGTGCACAGATGAGAGATCCTTCAGCATGTTTTCCACGGAGCCCTGTGGAACTTTGTTAGAGGCCTGCTCCCAAGGATGGGGGGCCAGGCCCTTCCTGCACAGCTCAGGCCAGGAGAACTATGGGGTCCCCTTCCTCTTGCTCGCTCTGTCCAACCCCAATCCTCCCACGCTGCCTTCCAGCATCTCCCCCAACCCCCTGGAAATTAATGTGATAATCACCATGTGTGCCTGCTTACACAGGGAGTTGGTGAGCGTGCCACCCTCACCAGGCAGATTCTCAAAGGAACACATTCCCACCGTCTCAGGCCTGGTGCCCGCTGAGCACTCCTGTGCAGGTGGGCCACCACCCCCAGCTTCTTTCTCTGTCATCACCCTTTTCTTGCACACATGTGCGTGTGTGTGTCACTCAGGGAATCGGTAGGTGAGAATGCTGGGGAGCAGCCAGCCTGCCACTCTAGGGGAAGGACTGGGTGGGGAGGGTGTTGGGGGTGGGAGGAACCTCAGTGCCCTAAGTGAGAGGACATGGACCAAAGAGAAGTCCATGGTAGGTGTAATGTGAATGCCATGGAAGGAAGAGGCTGGCATCTCTGGGGCAGCATTCTTTGCAGGGAGGGATTGGATACCCTTAGCTGCTCCACAGTAGAGGTCCGGGCTGTGAAGTTTCCACAGTGAGAGACTCCTGGGGCCAGGATCCAGCAGAATGTGTCACCCAGGATTTTGCTCAACGGACTTAGCGTGGCTGTCCCGTGTTCCTAAGGACGAGCCACTGGGGAAAACACAGTCAACATTTCTCCATGAAAGCAACTTGTGAGAATTGCAGAGGGGACACAGTAGAGAGAGAACGGAAGGGAGCGATTCTCCCCCCCCCCACATGGGCAACCCTCCTCCCTTCCACCTCCTCTGAGAGAGACACATGTGCACACCACGAGGGAGAAAGCCATCACAACTTGCTGCTGCGCTGGCAACTTCATCCTGACTCCCGATTTGCATGGTATCGGGACACTTGGCTGCCTTCAGAGTTGCCGATTGCTGCTTCTTTTTTAGTCTCAAAGGACACTTGTCTCTCCTACACTGGACCATTTTCAGGTTTTAATAATGATGAATCAGAAGGAGGTTGAAGCCCTCATTAGCATCAGAAAGAATCTTGCAATTTTGGGGGAGGGAAGCACTAAGTCCTTTGCTTGCCTGCCCACTTTCTGCTGAGGTATGTCCCACTATCGTGCCAGGTGGTCACTGACCCATGGACAAGCACGTGAGAGCACAGGGAGCCGCCTGGCCAGGAAGTTTGAAACCAGCCTGAGGGAGAGGAGCATGTTGCTGAGAGGGTGTGGCAAGCCTGTTAAAAGGTTTATGAATAATCTAGGGGAGCTGTCAAGCTGCTTTCTCCAGAAGAACCTTTTAAGCTGTCAGTCATCTCTAATAACCTCCAGGGCATAGTGTTGCTGGGGCTGGTGTCTTCCCAGCTGTTCTTTTTCTTCTTCTCTTCCTCTTCCTCCTCTTTTTCATCCAGCATGCTCCAACACGGTGGTGGGTGATGTTTGCAGCAATTCGGAGAAAGCTTCACAGATTGAGAAGTTATAAGAATGAACTGTATTGGTATATTTTTAACAAGAGAATCATTAAAGTATTAAAATCATGGCCATGTATTGATTAGTTGAGCATCTGTGTGTGCCAAACCCTTTGTTAGATGCCAGACACAGAAATGAGCAGCCAGTTAAGGTTTCTGTCTTAATATAGGTTAAATCAAAACCAAAACACTGAATAAAAAAGACACTTTTCTCTGTGGGTATTTTGTAGAAGGATTGGAAAAGGAGGTTTCTGTCGTCAAGGAAGTTCAGAAAATGTTGGAATAAACAAACTAAATGTTTCTTTTTTGTGGGTCTTCTCACAGACTCAGAAAAAAATGTAATCTGTGTTTCCCAAGTTCTTCTGATTACAGAATCCCATGTTCCACAAAACACAGTGACATCTTACAGATCACTTGCAGTGAGAAGAACAAAATTTTGAACATTCTCTTCATTCTGTAGCACCTCACAAATAGTCGCCCAAGTGAAATTGCTCTGAACCATCTTCAAATTGTAGCACAGTTATTTCTGAAACCAAAAATACCTTGACAGTCACAATTTCATTGTTGCCATTGCTGATACCTACTAATATTTATTGGCAACCGAGCTCTGATCTGGGTGCTGGGTGTTGAGTCAGTTATTTTTGCCAAGGAACACTAAGAGGGGAGCACTGGCTAAGTAAAAAATTCTGTTAATCTGGAGACCTGTTGTTGAACCATTGGAGTAGCCAGACTTACAGGAGGTTTGATTTATAATTTTGAATAAAGACAGAGCTAGCTATACAAAGATCATTTCATTCATCCTTTAGCTCATAGGAAGGCTCATATCTCAACTTAGAAAAAACAGTTAACGTCTGTCCATTAAAACCTAACACGGCTCTTGGCTTCTAGTTCTTCTGCATCTTCTGTCTAATGATCAGGAATAGTATTCTCTGAGCTCTGGACTACATCTTCCCTACTCGCATAGTGTTGACCAGACCTGATCAGACCAAAGAGCTAAATCTAACACATTGAAACTGGCAAGTCCCTGACTTTACCCCATCCAGTCCAGAAAGTGTTTTGTTGTTATTATTGATGCTTGTTTTCTTTCTTTCTTTTTTTTAAGTCAGAGTTTCACTCTGTTGCCCAGGCTGGAGTGCCGTGGCACATTCACGGTCACTGCAGCCTCGACCTACTGGGCTCAGGCCATCCTTTCACCTCAGCCTTCTCAGTAGCTGGAATCACAGCCTCCACACCTGGCTGATTTTTTTTTATTTATTGTAGAGATGAGATCTCGCCATGTTGTTCAGGCTGGTCTCGAACCTCTGAGCTCAGGCAATCCTCTCGCCTCCACCTCCCAAAGTGCTGGGATTACAGGCTTGAGCCACCATGCCTGGCTTGATGCTTGTTTTCAACTCATTCTGCTTTAGTTGCAATGATACCTCTCTGAACAGTATAGGGGCAAGAAAAAAGACACAAGTTTAATGAAAGCCTTAGAAGCTATTTTTAAGGGATGTTTCTAATATACAGTGATAGCTGCCATGATTGTTAGGAGACTATTCTGTAGACTGATATAATCGAATGGGAGATAGAAGATGAGATAATGCAGGAGAAAAAAAGATAGAATGTCATAGAAGTCTACAGGAAGCATGAGGACAATGAATCAAAATACATTTTCAAGGTTTAGCAGTGAGAGGAGTTAAAAGATAATTTGCAGGGACAAGAAATGCTTTGCCATAGAAATTCTGAGTTCTGTCCTTCATTTTACTAATTTAAGCATGTGAGTTTTAGGCATAGCGTTTCACCTTGATGACCTTGTTTCCCCCAATGAATTGTGGATGAAGTATCTGTTGTGAGTTTCACATGGGTATTAAAATGTGTGTATGAGGGAGTGGGGTGGGGTTGAGGAAATTTCAAAGCCCTGTATATGTGAAATGCAGTTCAGAAAGGCTATTTGGAAAGACTTGGGTGTGCTGGCATGGGGAGGGAAGGTCAAGGGAAAGCTTGTGAACCCTTAGTTGAACAGCACGAGTGTCAGAAGTGACTTCTCAAAATGCTCCCAAGCTCTATTTCAAGGTTTTAATAAGACATCCTGCCGAGTGTTGCTTCTTTTGTCTAAGTCATGTGATGTAATCCTTCCTCAATCCCTGCCATTCAAAGGCCTTGCATCTAACTCATGGTACAAACATTCAGAATATGGGGGGCTATGCATTTTTAGTTCACTGTATGTTAGCATTTGAGGGAAAGCAAGTGATCACTCTTCAGATCTAAATTTATTCCTTTTTCTCTCTGGAGCCTTGCTTTGGTCAGGCTTCGTCCGGCCCTATACCTTTATACCACGATGGAAGAAAGAAAGCCAGAACCCGGGTCAAGAGCTGAGCAGGATTTGGAGAGCCTAGTTTCTTTCTCTTTCACATCCATGGAATGGAGTGATGGGCACAGCCTTTGTCTTTTTGAGAATTTGCCCAATTTAGAGTACATCACCAAACACTATATCCACATCACCCACATCACTGAACACTATAAAACCAATGGCTCTTTGTATGACCTTGGGAAATTATTTGACTTTTCTGCATTCCATTTTCTCATCTGTTAAATGAGGGTGTTAGAATATTCCAACTCAGTGCATTGCAGTGAGGCTGGCGCAGCATTATTCACAACATACTGGGGGATTATGGATTAACCCAATAATGGCAAGTTGAGAGTGGAGTGAGGCAGTACTGAACTATATTGCACTGTGCTGGTTATACTCTGTGTGAAGCTGCGGGAATGTAAGGCTTGCTTCTGGCAGATGTCTCTAAGTATTACAGAACCACTTTTCTTTCTTTCAGACCAATGATGCCTTAGGAGCCACCTGGAATTGGCTGTACTTCATCCCTCTCATCATCATCGGATCCTTCTTTGTTCTCAACCTAGTCCTGGGAGTGCTTTCCGGGTAAGCCAGATGTTTCTCTCTCTTCTTCACTTCTTTGCTGACTGTAAACTGATGCCTTCTGACTCATGGAAGATTCATTCATTCAACCTTCATTTACAAGGCATCTACTGAGCAGCTCCTGTGTGCCAAATACTGGGAGTGCAATAGTGAACTGTCGTTCTAATCATCTTTATTTTTCTTGAGAATTTAGAAATCTTTACATCAAGTACAATACTGAAATGGTATCTACTGAGAGTTCATTTATCCATCCATTCTTTCATTTGATAACTCAACAGTTATCTTCTATGTCAAACACTGTGTGGGTTGTTAGAGATGTAAAGTTGGATACAGTCTTTCCCTCAAAAGATTTTTTACTCTGTAGTATGTTGGCCACCAAATCCCATATTTATGGCTTGAATTAGCTTACACCCATCTGCAAGTTTTCAATGTCCAAAACCGTGGTAAGCATTTCCAGGGACACACAAAGTATAAGGCATAGTTCCTCCCCTTGTTTTGTCAAGAAGACAGCACACACACTTGAAACAGGGACAAAGTATTCTTTTACCAACTAATATAGAATATAATAATTTGTTTTGTGGAAAGGACAAATCTATATAGTATGAACTAATCAGGGATGTTCTCATGAAGGATTGGGCATTTTGCTTGAGATATAAAATATGTAATAGGATAGCATAGACTATATGGGAATGAACATTTCTGGAAGAGGAATGCCCACCCTAAGCAAAGATGAAGAAATGGGATGTGTCATGGAGTCTGAAGAAATTTTAATGAAACATCTTAGGATGGCTAAGACAGGGACATATTTTTAGAGGACCTTACACTTTTCTAAGCAAAACTGAACTTAATTTCTTGTCAGAGTGCCATAAGTTCTTTGAATACAAATGTACAAGGTGATACTTCTGTTTAAACATAGCAGATTGAGCCAAGTTGGTCATTTCTTGAAACTCTTCTAACATGGGAAATAAATTTCAAGGGCACAAGGACAAAGAGAATGAGTAATGACAACAGATGAGAGATGTCAACCAAATTTTTGAAGATGGAAAATGGTTACTGACATAGTGGTAGGAAAGCTGAGGGTTAATTGCCTGCAAATGATAATGCTGGTACAAAAGCCAACTGATTGTCTGACAAAGCCTAGAGGGGCTCAGTAATTAGAGGCACCAGGGATGTCTGAGAGGTAGAGCATGTGTGGTGCTAAAGACAAGAGGATTGAATGAAAGTCTTTGTAAGGAACACTAGATTTCCACCTCTCCACCTTACCCCTACTTAGAGCTCAAGAATCAGACAAGGTTGTCAGGTATTTGCTGAATTCAACTCCTTCCCCAGCAAACTAGCAAAAGTTGAGAGATGTAATCTCTGCAGAGTCTGAATCAGAGAATTGGAATGGTGACATTAGGTATACTTACTTGAGGGTGAGATTGACATTTTGTGATGAAAATAGGAAAAATTAAATGAAAGTCCACAAACTGGATGTCAGTATTTGGCCCACTTCTCCTGCTTAACTCTTAGAAATATAGCAATCTGGTAGGAATTTAGAGGATTCCTCTCTGGGAAAACTATATCTGTCTTAAGAGACTTATCTACAATGATAGTTGAGGGAGACCAGAGAAACAGGTTCCCCGCCTTGTCACCTTCAGTGAGGCTCACTATATTCATTTCCTCTGGAGGCGGTAAAAAATGATCACAAACTGGGTTGCTTAAAACTGTGAGAGAAACTTTATTCTCTTACAATTCTGGAGTCTGGTCCAAATCTGGCAGGGTCGTGCTCCTTCCAAGGCTCTAGGGGAGAATTTATTTCCTTTCTCTTCCAGCTTCTGGTAGCTCCAGGCATCTCTTGGCTTATAGACACATCATTCCAGTCTCTGCCTTTGTGGTCATATTGCCTCCTTCTTCTTCAATGTCTGTGTAATCTCTGTCTGCCTGGCTCTTATGGGGACACTTGTCATTGGATTTAGGGTCACCAGCTAAACTAGGATGAGCTCTTCATCTGAAGATTCTTAATTATATCTTCAAAGATCCTTTTTTCCAAAGAAGGTAACATCCACAGATTTCAGGAATTAAAATGTGAATATATCTTTTGGGGAACCCCATGCAATCCACTACATTCACCATTCCACAAGCTCCAACCACACATACAGGTTTCTAATAAGCTTTTGTGCCTTGGCCTTAAATATGTACAGATCATCAACATTTGAAGAAAATGCTCAACACAAAAGACCAAAAAGAAAATAACAAATAGAAAAAAAAAAAAAGTTGAGGGAATATAAACAATGCAAGGAGCAGAAGACAACTTTTAAAAACTATATTTTGATAAGAGCATAGATAGATGATAAATAATTTCACCTATAGAATAACATTATTGGAATAAAAAACATTTAGAGGTTAAGAAGAGCTCTTGGAAATTAGTATACAATGTAATTAAAGTAAAATTTACATTAAGTAAAAATGAATTAATGTGAAAGTATTAACATATGATAAAAAGTTGGTGGTTAGAATATAAAGTTAATGAAATTACCTAGAAAGTAAAACAAACAAAAAAAGATTGGTCCAACATTTAACTATAATAGGAGTTCCATAAAGAGAACAGAGAAGTGGAAAGGAAGAAATTAACAAAGAAAAACACAAGAAATATTCCCTGAACCAAAAGACTTATATCACCAGATGGAAAGATTTGTTGAGATACATGCACAGATGTTCTTTCATGGGAATTGGGGGAATCATGGTGCCCATACTGGGAGATTAGATAGATAAAATTTTGGGTACATACCCCACATACTATATAGTAGGATGTACTATGATCAACTTAATACCATTTACATAAAAATACATATATGTAAAATCTATACAATTCGTAAAAATATATTTTAAAAGGGCACGCATTAAATATATTATACTGATAGTATGTATGGCAGGGAGATAGAAGGTGAGTATGGAGATAAAAAGGAACAAATGAGTTTAATTAATTAATAATGAAAATGAGACTGGGTGCAATGGCTCACACCTCTAATCCCAGTACTTGGGAGACTGAGGTGGGTGGGAGAATCACTTGAGTTCAGGAGTTCCAGACTAGCCTGGCAATATAGCAAGACTTTGTCTTTACAAAAAAATTTAAAAAATTAGGTTAGGTGGCATGTACCTGTATTTCCAGCTTCTTGGGAGGCTGAGGCAGGAGGATTGCCTGAGCCCAGGAGGTTGAGGATGCAGTAAGCCATGATCATGCCAGTGTACTCCAGCCTGGGCTACAGTGTAAGACTTCAACTTACAATAATAATGATAATGCCCACAGAGCATTCACCATATTTAATAAAAAGAAACCACACCAGGCAAATCATGAAATTTTATAGCATCAGAATAAAGAATATCCTGAAAGTGTCCTGCAACTGGGAAGGAGAGTGAGTTTACCTACAAAGAGTCAGGAATCAGGGTAGCATTGGACTTCTCAATGGCAACATTGAAAGTTAGTAACTAATAGAGAAATTCCCAAATCTTTTGGAAGGAAAATAATTTCCTAGGTAGAATTCTATACCTAGCCCAAATACCAATTATTTTTTAAGAGGAATGACCATATGTTTAGATACCCTTTAAAAGTTACTGGAGATATGAGTCACCAACAATAAAGAAGTAATCGAAGAAAGAGAAAAATATGACAGTCCTGGAAACACAGGCTCCAATAGAGGAGAGAAGCAAGGGGGACTGAGTCCCAGGATGATGAAGGGGCATCTATGATGATGATTGTCAGAGGCCTAGAGCATCAAGCTCAGATTTGAATTGGATGGTAGAAGACTCTAAACATGCTCTCTGTTAGAAAACAATTAAACTAATACATTCCCTGATTTGCATTACTGTATTCAGAAGAGCTTAGTGGATTTTTAAAACTATATACAGTCATGTGCCGCATAACAACATTTCAGTCGGTGACTGATGGTGTATACAGCGGTGGTCCTGTAGGTTTTAGTGGAGCTGAAAAATTCCTATGGCCTAATGACATCATAGCCATCTTAACATCATATTGCGACGTATTTGTGGTAATGCTTGTATAAATAAACTCACACTGCCAGTTATAAAAATATAGCACATACAATCCTGTACAGCATATAATAATTGATAATAAATGACTGCTACTGGTTTGTATATTTACTGTTCTTTTTATCATTATTTTAGAATGTGCTCCTACTTATTTTAAAAAAAGAGGTGTCTATAAAGCAGCCTTAGGTAGATCCTTCAGGAGGTGTTCAGAAGGCATTGTTATAGGAGGTAATAGCTCCATCCATGTGTGTTATTGCCCCTGAAGACCTTCCAGTGGGACAAGATGTGGAGGTGGAAGACAGTGACAATGATGATCCTGACCCTGTATAGGCCTAGGCTAATGTGTGTATTTGTTTCTTTTTAACAAAAACTTAAAAAATAAAATAAAAAATAGAAAAATGCTTAGGAGTAAGGATATAAAGAAATTTTGTACAGCTGTACAATGTGTGTTTTAAGCTAAGTTATTACAAAAAAAGTCAATATGTTTTAACAAATTACAGCTTGTAAAGTAAAAATGTTACAGTAAGCTAAGGTTAATTTATTGTTGAAGAAAGAAAAATATTTTTAATAAATTGAATATAGCCTAGATAAAAATGTTTATGAAGTCTACAGTAATGTATGGTAATGTCCTAGGCTTTCACACCCTCAGCATCTTCAGTCCTGCAAGCTCCAGTCATGTTAAGTGCCCTCTACAGGTGTACCACTTTTATCTTTTATACCATGTTTTTACTGTACCTTTTCTATGTTTAGATCTGTTTAGATACACAGGTACTTACCACTGTGTTGCAGTTGCCTCCAGTATTCGGTATAATAACGTGCTGTCCAGCTATAGCCTAGGAGCAATAGGCCCTACCATATAACCCAGGAGTGCAGTAGGCTGGACCATCTAGGTTTTTGGTACACTTCATCATGTTCACATGACAACAAAATCACTTAATGACACATTTCTCAGAACACATCCCTGTCGTTAAGCA